GGGACTTGAGTCATTTACCTAAACATAAACATTCACTGATAACTGAGAAAGCCAGGAGCGTCCATAGAAGGTATTTGCATGGGACTGGCAGACGTGACAAAGGACCTGGGGAAGATCTCTGTTCTTCTGGAGTGACAGATGAGAGTACTCCACGGTTCCTCACAGAGCATCAGGTGTCCGTTCTTAGGCAACTGAATTAGCTGGGAGTCAGCTCACAGCTGAAACCATCTAAATGCAGGTGCCTGCAGGTGCCTACAGGTGCCCCAGGTGCCTAGGGACCCACTGCAGTTAGTCGTACTCTGCCACTGAAGACCGGAGAACTGTTCAGCTGGCCAGATGTAGGTGTCTGCTTCAGGAGGAGCTGATAGCTTTCTGGGGTCTTCTAGCTATATCAACTCTGGTCACTAGAGAAGGAGCTCAGATACCTAACTCACACATCAGCACATACATAGAGATATGTACATAGTGTCATGATAATTTGATGTACTTGGTGTGCTGAATCCCACCCCAGCGTTCTCGGTTTTCAGGCCCAGTCCCTTAAGGTGACATAGTACAGAAAGCCCAACCTATAAACAGCCATGGAAACTTTTTTTTTTTTCCTAACTTGCTTTTCTTACTTGCCTTCCAGGTGGGGCATGTCTGGATGTATCATATTAAAATAATTTGAAGCGTGGCTGTCCTAAACTAGAAACTCATTGCCACTTTCCAGGAGGATGCTCTGCAGCCCCAGGTGGTGGGAACAGTGGTCACTCCTCTTGCTATGTTTCCTAGCATCACAGGTCTGTCTAGATTTTCAGAACACGACTCCAGGAAGGTGGCACGAGCCTCATTCCTCAAGGCTCTCCCCCTCACACAGCAGGAAGTCAGGTAGATCCTTTATTTTCTTGCCTCTTCCTGCTAGGAACTGCAAAGCAAGGGGGTGACACAGGAAAATCTGCACTAATTCTATGTGGGCCATTTTCTTGCACTGTCTTGGTTTTATTTTATAGCTTCAGTATGAAAAGAAGCGAGATGGTGAGGAGCAGCTCCTGATAGCCCGTACATATTTTTCTACTTGTATAAAAGATTACCTTATTAAGAGGCCTCAGTATTCTGAAGGCACAGGATTGTGTTCTAGACTCTTGCTGTGCCACCCAGCATTCTAGATGGGAGGGAGGAATTGAGACCGCCCACAGGGATTTTCTGCCCTTTCCCCCCTATGAAGTGAGTGAAGAGCTGTAGGGCCAGCTGAGGCTGCCCACTGGGGTGTCCTGCTTTCTCTCTGCAAGGAGGAGCAGCACCTGGCCAGGTTCTGAGTCAGTCATTCTGTCTTGAGCATGCATGCCGGCACAGATGTGGAAAGCCACCTTGGGGTCTGTAATACAGGATCGAGATACAGGCACTTAAAACTGTGTTGCCATCTTTTAGGCAACGCAAACCCAAAGATGTTAACCCAGAAGCCTGCCCCGTCCTCTTCACCATCTCCACCCCCCCAAATTAGCTGAGCAGAGGGATCATAAACTGCCAAGCTCTACCTTCCATTGGCCAAAACTGGTCAAGAATTTAAGGGCAGACAGTTCTCGGGGGTTATAACCTGATCCTCTCAAGTCATCACCACTACTGTAAGGGGGGAAAAAACCCAGTCTATTTTTCCAGGCCAGTAGGGTTTCTTATCAAAGGTAGCAAAGCTTGTTTTGTAATAATGCTATGGGAAGGACGTTATTGCACGCTAAGGGCAAAGTCTGGTGGTTTTGAAAGCTTGGTTAAGTGATAGGGAAAAAATGATAATGAACAACCGCTTATCAAGACTCCAGGGAGATTAATCTGGATGTGCGCCCAACGTGTGTACGCATTTCAGCTAACGATCTGGAAGAGAAAACGTAGGGTGCTTTGGCATGGTTTCTGTTGACATCAGGAATCTACGTGAGTAAACTTGCTGATGTCAGTGAACCTCTGATGCACTAGAAGCAAGCCAGTCCCGTCCCTCCAGTGCTTTGCTGAATCAGGCGCTGGGTGCGTGGCCTATGACACTCACTAGGTTTGTGCAGGGGAAGGGAAAAAAAAAAAAATCATTTCAACTTCTAGCACCAGGGCCGGATGGCGGGCCAGGTCTGTCCCTGCCACGTCTGCGGCATGCCCGGCTCCCACGCACAGCACGTATGGCTCCCGCGCCTGCCCTGGGTGAGGTATAGAACACACGGGTATGTATTTCTGCTTGGAAGAACCTGAAGGGAAATGTGCTAGTCCTGCCTCTAGGGACTGCAAAGCAGTGAAGGTGAATGGGGAAAAGAAAACACAGTGGATGTTTTTGTTGTTGGTTTTGTTTTGTTTTCTGTAGCAGCTTATTAAAGTCCCTGGTGTACTTTTATTTCTGGGTTGCTTCTCCCAGCACACCTGACATATCGATATATGTCAGAGTGGTACATTCCTGTAATTGCAAAATGCTTTAAGTTTGCTTCACTGGCATTAAGGGCAGAAAAACATTGTTTAAAAGGTGAAAAAAAACATCATTAAGAAGAGGAAACTCAGCACACAGGGCTGTCACTTGTGGATTCACTGCCAGACACCCAGGGCCTGGCTGGTTTTCACCTCTCATCTTTCAGGTAAAGTACCTACACAAATTTTTACAGGTACTCTATCTTCTTAAAATTAAGGGAGAAGCGGGACACCCCCAGGGAAATACAAGTCTGCTGAAGCACCAGTTCTATGGGACTGTTTTGTCATGGCAGAGCCTGTTCTGTCTGATAACTGCCATTCTCTTACAAACCAAAGACTAAAAGCCAGTTAGGTGACCCACTCCTTCAGAGCTGGAAAAGAAGCTTTTATTTAGCCTGTGGAAACACTTACTTGTTATAGACTTGGTGATGGATGTCTTTTTTTATATATAAAACTAAAACTGATGGTGAATTTTCATATTCTTTAGAGCTGAACAAACAATAGTTCTTTTAGAATGTGCACTGATGAAGGATTCTCAATTCTCATCTCTGAAGATGAATGCAACCCCGACATGAGGTGACACACTGATTTTAGGCACTATGTAAACTCTCAGCAGAGGCAAGGTGAGGCGCAAGCAGACCGTCTCTCCCCTGCTACACCTATTTGACACAATATTGCTTTGTTCAACTGCATTTGCTAAGACTTAAAATAGAACAGGCCCTTGCTCGCACTAGACTTCTTAGAAGAAAATAGAGAAACTAGGCAACCACTTAGACAATTTTATTATAAAATTATTTCAACATCTACATCCAAGTAAAAGGCTTAAAACTACAGCTCTACTTTCAGGAATAAAAATTCAGTAAATGCTGAAAAAGGTACTGTATTATCTAGGTAGATAGCCCTTAAGTAATTTTTAATACTACAGAGATTCTTATACCCACCTCTGTCTGCACCGTGACTGCGTTCTGCAGCTTCTCTCTGCAAGCAGCCTTACAGGCCTGTTCACAGCACCCGTGTGCTTCAGCTGCTTTGAGACAGAAGTTACAGATCCCACCTGGAGCAGCTGCAGCTCTATTACAGATGTAGAGTATACCGTAACTCATGCTCAGGCATTAGCAGGTACAGAGAGAGAGGTGCAATTTGTGTTTACTTGACAACAATGACTACCTAGGTATGTTTTTGTGACCTTGTACTCAATACAAAATCAACAAATATTCAAGTATATTATGGCAATGAAGGCAGCTTTTTCACACTTGCATATTCTAGACAAAGATATTTTGGTTTTATTATCCATTTCATACATTGAGCTGAGCTCAGATACATGATCCAGTGACCTTTGGTGACTGCAGCTTATTCACTGGGCTAAAACCAGCCTTGATGCAGTACTGAAGTCATTATGCTCAGTAGTTATCACTGATACTTCTACACTTAATGAAGCATATCAGAATACTATTTTATTTTTGACTGAGAAATCTGTCCCAACAGGACTTCTAGAACACAAAGGTAGTTCCAGCTTTCTCTCATTCCTGTTAAAAAAAATACTTGGTATTTGCAGTAGAGTATGGAGTGGTTTAGAAAACTGTCATACGACTGAGCAGGATGCTTTAAATACTGCACTTGCAACTTCTTGCGAAGGATCATGTACACTTAAGATAATATGCTAATTAGTAAAAAAAATTCAAGTCATATTATACAGCCCTGATGAACTTTGACTGGCCGGTTTGGCAATGTCCAATAGTTTAACTTCTGTTGTTAAGTTTACCTTGCTTACAGGGGGGAAAATGCACAAAGAAGATGGGAAAGGAAGAAGCCGATTGAAAATGGAGTATTTTCCCAACAGCTCTCTCCCACTGGCACTGTTACTGTGACAATTCCCCATTATTTTGCTGTTCATAGGTTATTCTATAGATTTCAGTGCTGTTCGTATTTTGAAACTTCTCATTTCCTAAGCTCTTTCCACTGCAATGAATAGAATAAAATTCTAGTTCCAACATGACTCTCCCTGAAAACCTTTCAAACAGACCTCCAGTGCTCATCCTCATCACGGCTTTCAAGGTGTAGAATGCCCATGTATCTCTGAGCTAGTGTGGTCCAATACAAATTTGAAGATGATAGGCATATTCTGGTCTAGTGTACTGAGCCACTAATCTTCTAACAGCATGACAAAAGGTACCAGAAGACCGTGTTTTAAACACGCTGTTGCTTCCCATGTCACGCTTACATAACACAGATCACCAAAACCTTTCCGTTCAACTTACATGTCTGACTTCAGTTCTTGGAAAATCCTAACCTTCATGCTTTCTGGAGTGCAGGGATGTAGGCTAGATGTAGCCTAACCTTACAGCTGCTATACCCAAGTAGCTTTCCATTTCTTTCCAGTAGCTTTCTAAAATATCCCGATTTCCTTCTTAGTTACCTTATGCATAAGAGCCTCACTTGGCTAGTTTTTCCATGAACAGCTTAACATAAAAAAATCTAGCAATGTAACTCACAGAGCAAGGCATCACATAAGAATTATTACTGGAATATAGGTTGGGTTTTTTGTTGTTTGTTTTGCTTTTGGTTTGTTTTTTTCCTTTTTTTTGAAACGGGACTTCATCATATATGGAAAACCACTTTCTCCCTACCTCCCAGGGCTCCCTCCCTCCCAGTCAGGCTGTATTTGAATGCTGTTTGTATCTTGCTACAAGACTGCCACTTTAAGTGTATCTTTTCCAAATGTTATAAAATACAGCTTTAAAATACAGGTGTTCTCTATCTACCTGAGAAGTTCTGTAATAAGATGAACTGCTGATAACTATTCTAGGAGAAAAATATACACCAGTATAACTGACATTTATCAGTATTCAAGCATTAAACAGGACTCAAAAATAGTACACCTCTACCACATCAAGTCTTTGATCATAAGAAAAAAAAAATTGTCTGATTTTCCTCTATACTCATTTCTTCTTTAAAGAGGTATGTGCTCCTATTTTCCTCATCCTGAAGTCCACAGCAAGATTTCACATTCAGTGCATACAGCCCCGGCTATAACATCCCGATCTTCTTTCTCTTCTGCCTGTCCTGAAACTGAAGAATTTGCTTGTTTGGAGGTAGATGAATACTTCCAAACTCTAGTCTTTTTTGAGAAGCCAGCTTGATCCCCTTGGGTGTCTGGATACCAACCTCTCTTCAGAGAGCTGCGCTCTGCTTTGATACGTTCTTTGGGTCTTTACTCGGGACGCACCAGTCATCTGCCTCTGAGGTAGCTTGGTAATGCTTGGAAGCAGATTTGTTAAAAACTGGAAGTTTTTCTACTGATTCTGTTGATAGGGCCTAAAAAAAAGAATGAAAACAAAACCCAAGAAGGAAAAAAAGTTACTTGGTTTCTACCTCTCAATAATGCCACTTCGTGAGGATTCATGCAGTATGTTTCAAGTGTTAAGCCAGTGACACTACAAAACAAAATTATTTACACAGATGTTTCTACAATAGATGCAGTTGTTTATGTGCTTCAGTATCTATGCTTGCTTTGGTTAATTTGGCAGGACAAATGCAGTAACATCAAATCATATTTATGCATTTTTATAGGCCTTAAGAGTTACTCTGTAACCTCTTTTCAAGGTAGTCCTGGAAGGTGTGGAAAAGAACTTTCATTTCCAAAGTTCCAGAGAAACTTTAAAATATGTTCCTTTCCTACTTCCATATTTTGCAGCTAAAAAAAATTTATATTCTATTGGGAAATTGTTAAATAGAAATGCCACATGTATATAGCTGAACTGTCTCTTCCTTTTGTACTGCTTCTCTGTTGTGCTTCAATGTGCTTGGAACCATGGTTTTGGTTTACTAGAAGAAATTCAAAGCAAGTTTTTCCCATGAATAAGCCCAAAAAGTAGAAAAGAATATGTAGTCCTTTTCTCCAGATTACTTATAAAAACAGCAGTGCATTTTACACACCAGCTATTCAAGATTACCGATATCTGGAAATATGGCAGATGTTGAATAGGACCAGGCACTAGACTCTAAGGATTAGTTTATACAGACTTTCTGGCTGTCAGAGTAAAGAAACAACAGTAAAGAAACCAGATCTGTTGCTCACACCTTTCTGATTCTGTTACTTCACTTTCTCCCAGTACTTTGTATTGCATGAACCAGTAGATAATAAATCTTAATACAATCTAAAAACTAATGGGGCTCTCACTAGTAGTTATTCAAGAAGTCTCACTAAAGCCAAGTGACCTTTTTATTTCTAGATACCAGTTACAAATCTTCCTGGCATTTCTTAATAAAAATGAGAGCTTTTCTACTCATGAGCAGAGAATTTGTTTACCTTAAAATGATACTGAGTAGCTACCTCACTGCATTAATGGCAGTTATCAACACTATCTTTTATTTAACCAAATCAAAATACATACCTTCAAGTAGATAATAGCATCTGTTCCATAACCACATATGGAGTACAGATTTAGATCTCCTTGAAAGTATTTAGCATACAGACGAGAAATTGGCAAGCCATACCCAAAGCCAGCCTAAAAATAAAGTAGAAGACAAAATTAATTTTTTATAGCTCTTATGACTTAATATTAAATAGCTGGAAAGTGTTCAGAGATTTTAAACTGCTAGAAAGTCCTTTGCACTTACTCATCTCTTAAAAGAAAACAGAAAGCTCCTATCAGTTTCATACAGAATATTGAAACTGACCATTAAAAAACCCAAAACCACAAGAAAAAAAAAAAAACAAATTTCCATGGAAGAGGGAGGGTTTATATAAATTTCTTACTTTTACACATTACATTTCTGTATTTTCCCAGCCTTGTTTTTGTTCACTAAGGTAGATATTAAAAATCTGTTTCAGTAAGTGCTAATTCGTATTTATGAAGTTGAATCTTTGCATACCCTACAAAGCAGTCGGTGGACATAGTGTTTCATAATTTATTAACCTACCAATCTGTCCAACACTTACAGCAACCTTATTAGTAACACAAGTATTGAAAATATCTTACAAGAGGGGTATTTCGACCATCATCCATCGTTGGCCTTGGTGCTGTGGAATACATGTAGCTAAACAGCTGCTCAATTTTCCTTACTGGAACACCACCTCCTCTGTCTGAGATCTGATTTAAGAGAGAATAAACTTAATTACAATCAAATACCAAGCATGGTATTTAAAATAATGTTATCTGAACAATCCCTTCCAATGGTAATACATGCAAGCATTTGTTTTGCAGCATATTATTCTTCAGTTAAATAATTGTGCTAAATGGAGGCTACCAAGAAAAGGCTCATGCATAGTATCTTTGATCTGTTGTCAGAGGCTGCAAGTTCGTCTAACAGAATTTGCTGCAGCATATGCAGTCATAAAGATTACAGTAAGCCCATACTGTAGTAGGCCAACAAAATACCTTAATTGCCAGGTCTTCTTGTCCTAGAACAACTGTCACTTCAATTGGAGAAAGGGAAGGACTGTTTTCTTGGAATTCAACGGTTGCTCTCATTGAATTCTATGGAAATGAAGGTTACCATTATCAGGAAGCATTGGATCTGTGCGCTTAAGATCATACCCCCCCCATTATGCAGAGGCTGAGCATAGTTACCCTCCACTCCTTTCAGTGCCTAGCTTCCAAGGAACACAGTGTAACTGGAGCCAAGGAGGTCTCACACCTGAAAGTGACTAAGTATACCCAAGACTCTTCTATGCTTGAAAGACTACACTGTTCTGGCCCAACATATAACTCTGGCAATGTAAATAAAATATAACCTAACTCCCTCAAGAGTCACTAGTTTTCTGGAGAACAGAGTTCAGCCATTGTTAAAGGCTGCCAGAATTCTGCACCCCATGTTGGCAGGACATTAGTTTAGCCTCATTCACTACTTCAAGATGCATCACCCACTCCACAGAAAAGGCACCAGTTGCAAACCTGCACTACAGATGTAATCCCTAAAAGCAGGTGTCACAACCCCATGTCCCACTTTTATTTCCCCCCCCACACACACACCTTGCCCTATCCCATTTACCACCACACAGAATTGTTCGAATACTCTCCTACAAACTGCAGTCATTCCTTTCCCAATTGCCAAAGATATTTTCCCAAATAAAAAAGTTTTAGAAACTTCACTGTCCTATGCAAAGCTTTACTTCATTCAGATCTAGCTAGAGATTTTAAATATTGATGGTCCAGCTCAGACTACTAGGGGAAGAAACAGCTTATACCAGCATACCTTAATGAGCTCAAAAAGCATATGAAAAAGATGAGATGGGACGTATACGATGTTAATTGGCTCTCCTGGAAATTTTCCTAGAGGAAGGGAAAATGACAAGCAAGATTTAAAAGGCTGATGGAATTTTTCTGTATTGTATCCAAATTTTACAATAAGCAAGTTGTATGCCAGAACAAACAAGAAAATAAATCAAGTCTCAGTTTTATTTCCCCCCACTGCCATGAGCAAACAACTTTATGCACTCATAACAGTGTTTAGATTGTAATTACCACTTGCTTTATAACAGTTTGTTTCCAAATAAAACAAACAAAAAAATCAAGTATTAATTCCATTGTATAAGTAAAGGACTTTAAAGGTTAAACAGATTGCCTGAGATCAGACATGTACAGGCAGCTTGGACCAGAACCAGTGTTTCTCAGTCAGCCCCACTTCCTCACCCCAGATTCAGAGCTCCTCTCTAGCAACTTAAACTGTACTTAACGTAACATGGTAAGTCTTACTTCTCTAATTCATAAAGATTACCTCAGGAAATCTAGTGTTTAATGTACAGTGACATTTGAGTTCTAACACAGGAGAATAAATGAGGTGCTTATAAGAGAAAACGAAGAGGAACTAGCCCAAGACGGACCAACTGGTATGTACCATTATGGCTATAGAAATGGGAGCCTTTTGATGCAGTAAAAGCAGCAGTTTGGCCACTGATTGGAAGGCAGACATAAAAGCTCTCATCTTACCATTCACTTGAGTAAGCTTCAGTTCTGGAGATGTTAAGTAATACTGGTCACATAACATCTTGGAACTTTCAAAAGCATCTGAAATATTTATTTAAATAAAATATGTGAATTGTAATGTCAAACACTGTAGAAATTCATTCTAATGCACAGCAAAATACGATTTTTAACTGCATTCACTGCTAAGGTGTTACAGACTCTAAGCCTGTGTTTCAAAGGAATGATAACATTGCATCCATGTTGTGCGTTAAAAAGCAAGAATAAATGGGCAATTACAGCAGCATGGGCAAGTCTTCAGCACAATTTGATAATTCTGTAAAACAGACGCATCTGTTATCTACCAGCAGGTAAGGCTGATCTCAACACCACAGACAACCTTAACTCCTACCTCACCCGTCACTTGCTAGGCCTTATTCCAACACATTTTTACTGCTACTTTCTATTTTAAATTCTGTCCTATGAAAGCTTGTGTTTTGGCAGACTGCTTTCAGTTATTTCAATAAAGACCAGTCAGCATCCTATACAACAAATGTTGGTTACCCCAATTCCTTGCAATCAGATATAAATAGCGATCATGAAGAGAAATGTTAAGGATCTGAGAATACGTACCATTCACTACTTCAACAACATCACAGCAAGGGTCAATACTTCCAATGTGCCTTGGGTGCCCTGAGCCAGATTTATCGTCAAAGAGAAGGGCTGTTTGAGATGAAAACAATACCATATTTAACCCCAAATACTGTGTTATAAAAAAGCCTTAAATTTAGACTAATACACTGTGGTCAGAGCATATAACCACATAAAATACTGAGTGTTATTTAGGCCTTTTGCACACTAAAAAATGCTATCTGCTGCCAGGAAACTATGTTGGCTTTTCTGTAGTTAAACATCTAAAGGCTTTTCAGATGTAAGGAGTGAGATCCCTACATATTCCACGCAAGTTTTATTACAATTAGTCTGTAGTCTAGAAAACAAGTTTTCCCATTACTTTCGGAAGCCATACATTCAGTTTTTAACTGTACAGTGTCACACAAAACCATCTGAGCCAGATCTCCAACAGTTTTAAGAAATGTTTACATTAACATGTTTCTCATTAGGTTGAAGTTTTTCCTAAGGTAAAAATTTCTACTTACTGTGTTGGTTCATTAGCATTCGGGTAGAAATACGGCTCATGTAAAAACGATCCAGAAAATACTGAATGTTTTGATTGGTGACAGGATCTACTTTAAAAGTGTCTTTGTATTCAATCACTCCTTGTGCCATTGTAGGAACCACATCATGATGCCTGTTTCGGACTCTGATTAATGTATCTATAAAGCTAGGTAAAAAAGAGATCTTTTTAGAACGTTATTCTAAGACTGCATGGAGGCAAGCTTTGTACAATGTCATTATCTAATCCAGCAGCAGCACAGGTAAGTGCATAACAACCTTAATATTAAACAAACAACCTTAATATTCAAACCTAATATTAAAATAATTTCATTAAATTAAAATAAAATATTAAAAGTCTATTTTTTCATTCTTTTAAAAGTAGTTCCTCTCTGACCTAAACCAGGAGAGTTTGATACTTTTAATACAAAAGGTCTAATGGTTAGCTATGCCAAATTCACTGCCTGTTTACTCAATAATAATAGTTTGAGCAGAGGAGAATATGAGGAAGGGAAAAAGACCCCCAGCTGATATCTTGGAAATAAGCAGGGATGTGACATCACAGACAATTTTTCTTGGTATTTCTCTGTCACGACAGTTCAAGAGGCAGTATGCCCTTGAAACTGAGCTGCAATGGGTCATATTTATTTGCAATATTGCTAAACATTATCAGAGATTTAAACCAGCTTGCTCTATGCACAGCACTTCACCCTAGATCATCAAATTCAGCTCATGACAGCTGTTGTTATAAACTGACTACATTGTGAAAAGTGGAATGTGAGATCAAAAGTCCAAAGAAACGAATAAAAAGCTTACTCAGATAAGACTTTTTGGTCATGTGGGCTTTTCTGATGGAACTCAACCAGCTCCATTAGGCTTTGGATGTACCTATTGAAAAAGAACACAAGAAATAGATTATATGCATTTGATTTTTATTAGTCTAGGAACAGGAAAAATACTTTGTCTTGTCCAAATCGTTACTCTTAACAAGTCAGCTAGAAGTTTGAAGCATCAAAGTTCCATCCAAGCATGGAATCACAAATGGACTGCCTGAACCCTAGAAGTTTTAAACATCTTTTCTTGTGCCTGCCACCCAGAAAGGAATCTAAACCTAATCTCTTTAGGTATATAGGATCCCCTTAAAAATTCTTGTGAAGGGAGGTGTTTCAAAAGAAGATCCAAATGACAATACCGATCAAGAAGCCATCTAAGCAAATCTTTTCCAAATCTGATTAGCTTTGGCACAAGCTAAGTACTTGAGGCTCTCGTGCTAACATCTGACAGCCTTGACACATTGCAAAGGCACAACCGTTTGCTAGATTAAGAACAGTTTCTGGATCTCAGTCTAATAGTTTTGCCCTTTAGGTCAGCCATCTTTGCAAATGCTGCAGCTGTGCCAGTAAAGCAAGGTTAAATCAGATTCAACCACCATGTCAACTGTGGAGATTATGTTAACTGAATTCCAAACACTCGCTGCACAGGCCAAGGCAATATGCTATGGAACAGAAGCTCTGTTAGTAATTCCATCGGTGAGAGACCCAAACAAGCACATAGCCTGCTTTCCCATTTTTGTGTAGCTCTGAGGGTCTGTAATGTTACAGGAAAACAGAACGTGTTTTCTTCTCTCCCTTCTTAAAGAAATGAGAAACGAGATTTGCTCTACCAGCTAATTCAAACTGTTAGTTTAAAAAACCCAAACTATTTAAAAATAACAATGTAACCAAGTTGTTTCTCAGTTCAGTTTTAGTATGCTAGAAAAGGGTAGCATGTAACAGCTTGCAATTCAGCTTTGATGAAGGACCTGCATTTCTAGTGTATTTTGTCACTTTGTCAAAGCTATACTGTTTTATGGGCTGAATTCAAGTAGTTCTTACTTACCAGCTTTTTACTAATTGTACTGATGGAGTGCCTAGTAATTTATCGGGAAGAAGATCAATTTCTCTCAGTATGTTTGCAAACCTCACAGGAAGTTCTTGTCGCAAAAAAGCAAATGAAGTTCTCTCACATCCATTAGTTGAGCCTATGAATAAACCCAAAATAAAAGTCTTGTTTAAGAAGTTTCAAGACACAAGTACAAACCGCTGTCATGCCACAAACTTCTGTACTAGATTCCTTTGCAATCATCATTGCTGTTACTGGCCAGTTTCCTAAGCATGCGGGTATGTTTGTGCTGAATGTTGTTTACATGACAGCAAGACACAGCATGTTCCTGGGAGGAATACTCCTACCATTTCCCGTTTAGACACGGGACTTATTTGTAATCCTCTAGAAGAAGCACTCCAGCCCTTTGTACACACGGGCTTCTTCAGGGTGACGTCTGAAAACGTCGTGTGAGTACAGCCTTCAGAGCTGCCAAAGCAGTAATCGGATCTGGGTACAGTTTGTTCACTCCATCAGGACAAGACTAATGACTCCTCCCCGATAACGCGTACCCAGAACACGAAAACACCCATTAGCCGATTTAACTTTTAGCCCCCGCATCCCATTAACACCACCGAAATAGCGCTGTAGCGTATCTTCAGCGTCGATCGAGGCGCTCGCAGGTCACCATCGCCTGGCAACCGCCCGGCGGGGGCCTGAAGGCGGTCGCCCAAGGCGAGCTGCCCGCC